GCCGCACAGACATTGGCACCTCGAAGAAAGAGTGGTGAGAGGAGACGAAGACGAGGACGAGGGTGATGGTGAGAGTGGAGGTGATGATGCAGTCAAGATGGAATAGTTGGTGGGAGGAGTGGAGTAGAGGGGATGTGAGACGTCTTCGCAGTGACTGTGCCAACAGCCTGTGTAGGTGTCATGTGGAGTGAAGGCGAAGTGGAAACAGTGGTGGTCATGTACATGACGAGGTGGTGGAAGTTGATGTGTGGTGGGTGGGGTGGAGGAGGAGGAGGAGGTGTACCCGTCCCTCCCCTTCTCACCACCTTCTTTTTCTCCCTCATTTTGTTCACGTACAGTGCTTGTTGATGTTAGTGCGTGTGTGTATGTGTGTAGAAGGCGGTAGTAGTGGTGGTAGCGGTGGTGTTGGTGGTGTGAGGTGTGACAAGACGACGGCGAGAGGTGGAGGACGAGGCAGGTAATGCAAATCGCCAAAACAGACAAGGGGAGAAGGAGCAGGAGTGAGGCGGAGGCGACACAGACAGACAGACAGACAGACAGAAGGAGGTTGATGAGGAGGGAGGGAGGGAGGGATGGGCAAAATATCGCAAATCGCGTGGTGGCGAAATGACCATGTCATCGAGTGGGAGGTAGTTGAGGTGGTTTGATAGGTGCATTTAGGCGTTAATGCGTGTAGGGATGAGGGTGGAGAAAATGAGGAGTTGGTGGTGAGTGAGTGAGTGTTGGGATTGTACGAAAGTGAAGAGGAGTGAAGGTGTGGACGCAAGTGGTGTGGGTCAAGTAGGAGGGGGTGACGAAATGGGGTAATGGGAGAAGGAGGGGGTGAGTTGGAGGCAGTGGAGAATGAGGGCCGTTGGGAGAGGTGATGATGGAAAGAAGGCGTGAGGATGGAATGGGTAGAGCACACACAGACAGATACGAGCATGCACAGCATCATAAGTGGATATGAGGACGAAGTACGAAATGAGGAGGTGGAGAAGAGGAAGTGAAAGAGGGTGAAAGGGAGAGGAGAAGGGAAGAAGGCATGGATGGAGACTGGTAGAGAAACAGGCAATCGGTGAGTCACCGTCTTCCTTCACTTAATCAGCAGATGCGTTAATAATGGAAGATGTGGAAAGGGGTGGGTGGGATTGGGTTGAGGAGAGGTGGAGTGTGTGGAGGTAGAGTGAGGTGAATGGTGGAGAGGAGAGTAGAGAGAGAGAGAGAGAGAGAGGAGTTGGCCTGAGGCAGGAAGAGGTGAGTGAGGGAGTGAGTGAGTGAGTGGGTGAGTGGATGGAGGGAGGGAGGGAGAGGAAGTTCAGGTACCGTTGAGAGAGAAGTGCTTCTTGAAGAAGTGGCGAATGCTCTTGCCCATGTTGGAGTAGCGTCGTGAGTGCTGCAACTTCTGCTTGATGGAGGCCCTGTGCTCGCGTGAGGTCGAGAAGGAGGATGAAGCGAAGGCAGCGGCAGTGGTAGCGGCAGCGGTGGCGGTGGTGGTGGTGGTGGTGGTGGAGGCGGTAGTCTCGCAAGCATCGCCTTTGAGACTAGCGATGCGGCTGAGACGCTGACGCTCCTCATTCACGTGTTGATTGGCCGCCTTGATGGCGGAGACGAGACCCACAAGTAGCTCGTTCACCTGGTGGTTGAGGGAGATGGAGACCTCGTAGAAGTCGCACGAGTACACGGCGGCCAGATGCTTGCCTTCTGCCGAGCAAAACAGGTAAGAGTGCGTGCGTGTGTGTGCGCTTAACTGCATCGCACATTGGCGTTTGGCCTACAACTAAAAGTTGTTGTGCGAGGGTGTGGGAGGGGAGGTTGTGTGCGCAGTGTGTGTGGGCACCGAGTTGTTGTTGCACGTCACATCACCTCACCTCACCTCACTGCAACACTGCATGTGCACACGTAGGTGATGAATGAATTCCTCACCTCGTGTCGTCACCAGTGGGT